CCCTCTCTCTCGCTCTCTCTTTCTCTTCTCTCTCTCTCCCTCTCTCTCTCTCTCTCTCTCCTCTCTCTCTCTCTCTCTCTCTCTCTCTCTCTCTCTCTCTCTCTCTCTCTCTCTCTCTCTCTCTCTCTCTCTCTCTCTCTCTCTCTCTCTCTCTCTCTCTCTCTCTCTCTCTATGCCAGGTAAGGATGCACACGAGGACATAACCCGAAGAACGGTAAAGCCTCTATCGTTTTTAACAGTCTCGTGAATAACAAGCTGCTGAGAGAAGTGGAGATCATCCGGCAGATTGCATTAAGACACAACTATAAACACATTCCAGCAAACCTGGATTTGTCAGTTTTATACTGCCGAACACTTGTTTTAGCCAGCAGAGCTGATAGACCATTCTCGGTTGAAATAATCGTCTTTCCCACCTATAGCCTGATATGATGTGAGATACGTGTCTTTCTGGAATGGAACAGCGCAGTGTATGGTACACCTTTCAAAGGAGCGTCACCTCTCCGTATCATCCGATCTTGGCAGCGAGGGCAGATCGATACGCCGCCACGGCGAACAACGGGCCACAAGTGTTCTGCCCGGACAAAAATCAATATTGTGCTGTAGCGCTCGAGTCCCAGCATTCAGGTCGAGCCCAGAATGCAGTCACACTCACCGTAAGCACTCGATTTTGGACAGCTTCTTCCCGGGCGGCTTGCAGTAACGGAATCCGCTCTCGCAGCGCTTCGAACGCCTTGTTCATGTCGCGCATGCGCGTTCTCTCGCGATCGCACGCGGGTCTTCTTATAGTCTGAAAGGCCGACCACGGTCATCACGCGGCGGGGCTGCGGCAGCGGAGGAGGACCTGAGAAACCGACGGCCGGGCCAGCGTCCGATTTGAGAGCCGACTGTTAACTGATTGAGCCGGCCCAGGCGCGGCACACATGCAGACAAACACATGTTTCCGTCACATATGGCGATCTGTGCGCCGGCTGTCGAGGGTGCCGGGCGCGACAGGCAGCCGACACCTCGGCCGCGGCCGCCGCCGCCGCCGCCGCTGCGTAGGCCCGGCCGCCAGTCGCGTCTCGCACCCACCGGTACAGCTGAGGGACGGGACGAGCCCACACATTCGCGCGATTTGGCATTACGCCTACGGGCATTGCATGGAAAGGATGGCCTCATGTTCCCCGAGTCTAACATTCTCCATCGCCTCAGGCGCTTGGCTCATGACAGAGCTCCTGTTACCAGTGCATTTCAGGCATTCTGGGTTTGAGCCTTCGAAAAAGAAAAGGCTATTCTAGCAATTGCGCTTAATGCCTCGTCATGAGGAAGGCTTCAATGTCCCTGGTTTGTGTAGGCGAAGATATCGATCTTAGAGCAGTCCATGTTCTGTTTCAATTGCGAGGAGGAAGAAAGGGTGAGAAGTCTCGCTAGCGATCCTCAAGTTTTTGTTATTAATTTTTTAAGGTGTTCAGCTCATACAGACGCTTGGATCACAATTCAACGGCCACTCAACATATTTAAGAGTGCCCTGACGCAGTGGCGGCAGTTTGAGGCATATCATTGCGTGGAGAAAGTAAGCATGCGTTCACCGGTAGCATCAAACTCGGCAACGATTTCAACAAGACAGAGCAGCACACCAGTGCACACAACAATCTCGCGCGTGCTGACGCGGGGCCTGAAGCCCAGCCGAAGGTTGGCCCACCTGACTCACTCATAGAGCTGCCTCTCCAGCCCCTGTTTTTAGACGCCTTGTTGCCTGGCTCCTCCGTATGCGGTGCCGAACGCCTGGTGCGAACCGGCTGCGCCACCAGCGCGGAGGAGACGGCCAGACCCTGTGGCGCACCCGCGAAGCCGGCTTGTACCAGCGGCGACTCCAGGTAGCCGAGCGATGGCGTTGGGTAGCCGGCGTACGCGTCCGGCATCGGCACGAACGGCTGCTGGTAGCCGGACGGTGGCGGCGGCGGCGCATAGTAGCCGTCGGCCGGCCGGTCGTAGGCCTTGCTGGAATCGAGATCGGTGTAGCTCGGCTCGTCGTAAACGGCGCCGTAGTAGGGCACCGCGTGCTCACGCATCAGCTCGTCGTTGTGAAACTCGCCCGGCACGACCAACGTGTCGGTGGGGACCGCCTCCAGGCGGCTGGGCGGTGCCGGGGGCGACCGATTCGGTCAGGTCCGACGACTCTTCCTTGACGGACACCTCAGGCGCAGCGGCAGGGATGCTGGTGCTCGGCTCGGCGACCAGCCGGACCGCCTCGCCGTCGATGGGGACTCGCGGCTGCTGCCGACCCAGCGGTGCAGAGTCGGTCTCCTGGTCCGCCTGGGGCAGCCGTCCGGTCACCAGGTCGGGTCGACCGTCAGCCGAGATCCAGGATGTCTTGGCTACGGTGCTGCCGTTCTCCACGGCCGCCGGCGAGGGCGCCGAGCACGATACGGCCGGCACCTCCCGGGACGGAGACTGGGAGGACGTCATCTGCGAGATGTGATACGGCTTTAGAAGGCTTGCAAATTACCACATTTTGACAGAGGCACGGAGGCCTGGAGCTTAACTGATATGGCTCACGCACTTGGGCTGAATTTAGCCACGTGAGCAGTCCTTATTGCTATCACGGGAACAGGTAAATATGCCTTCAGAAGCATCTTAAAATGACCACATCTAGTTTTTTGGCGACGTTCCCGAAGGCTGTGTGTAGGTTTGCTTGTAAGTGCGGTTGCCAGCGCCTTCCCTTGGTTACTGAGATTTGAGGGAACATCGCTCTTTTAGATAACAAGCATAGGCGCATCTCAGCGAAGGGGCAAGGGTCTTTGTCCCATTCTCCTGCAGATCACGAGTGTCTCTAACCCGAATATGCATGCGAATCATTGTTGTGCGCGAGGTCCATTCGGCGATAGATGTACAGGGAAAACAGGAATATTGAGACTTAAACATAATTGGCTCATGAGATCGCAGAAAAACCCCATCGGCATAAACGTTGTTCCATATCATCGAATCTCATTCTACTGCCGAGATGGTGATATAAATTGTGATGGTATAATAGCGATCAAAATTGTAATAATGTAGTAATACAATAATAATGCATAATAATAGTGAATAACATTGATGATAGGAGTCTGAATGGCCTCAGAATACGAAAGGATCTATGGAATGCCGTTCAAATTTCAAGGGGAAAATGTAGCTTCGGTGAAAGCTTCTGCTAACGTCAATGAGATGTATGGTAGAGACTCCAAAGAAAGACATGACGTACTGGTACTGTTTGCGCATCACTTAATCACTTAAGCTACACTCACACGACGTTTGCAACTGTATCAAAGGACAATGATCTGTTTGCCTGTAAATCTTCCTGGTGCTCTTTCATAATGTAGATTTAAAGCGCTGGGAAATACAAATAACTCAGTAACGGGTGGATAGAACTGGCTAAGAACGGACCATGGTAGGTGTGGGCGCAGCCTAATACATGGTGGGTGGAGAGGGTATAGAAAGCATTACTTGTGGAGGCCTCTTGTTGACAGAAGGCACCCATAACCTCAAAGTGGTCTTGGTGTCCAACAGTTGTGGATCTGGCCCCCAAAAATGAGCTCGATCCAACCTCACCATCGGCGCATTACATCATCCGGAGCCTGGGTCTGAATCCAGCAGTGTCCAAGGCTCATAGGCACGAGGCTGAGTTTGACTTCTTAGATAGTGAGTCGGAGCAGAGTCCGTATCCATATCCTAGTTCTACAGCCTGATGTCGGAGTTCATCGGTGCATTATGCGTTGACACGGGACACAGGCAGTTTCGTCTCAGAGTGTAAGGGATTGGGAGAAGCTTAAATGGTCATCAGTTAAGCGCGGCTGCTGCGTTCAGAAATCTTTCAGGCGCAGCCTGATTTATAGCCACGTAGTGTTACGTCTGAGCCCGTGTCAGAGTTCATGGTTGTCAAGTACAACTCCGAGACCGATTGAGTTGTAAAATAAATCAATTTACTTTACTTGAAGCCCATGCCTACCCGTTAGCTATTCCTAACCAGCTCTACCAATGCTTTACCCGCCCGTGGTATTTTTCCATCACCTTAGTCCCATAGGACGGAAGCGTTTAAGGAATCTACACCCGCATTCACTCCTTTCTCTGATGATCCGAAAAGTAGCGTGAATGGAAGCAATTGTGACTAAAGGAGCACAGGCAGCGTCGTTGTGTAACGTTTCTCCGAAGTTTATATCCGACATTAGGTAAACGTATCGTCAATACTCATACCCACGCTCGCAATGTTCCCAAGCCTGCACGAGGGTATTCATGGGCTTGCCCAACCCATAAAACCCTCTACCTGTAACACTCGAGTCTGTGTTAGGGCGAGTTGGAGCTTGGCTTAGTATTTTACATATCTGTTCAACACCTTCAATGCATAGCTGTCCGTTCAGGACAGGGCTTGCAATCGGAAGGTCTTACAGCCAGAGTCTTACAATCAGGCTGTCTTGCGGCCAGAGTCTTACAATCAGGCTGTCTTACAGCCAGAGTCTTACAATCAGGCTGTCTTACAGCCAGAGTCTTACAATCAGAATGTCTTACAGCCAAAGTCTTACAATCAGAATGTCTGCGTAGGATTTTTCGAACGCGCACAGCAGACAACGCTTAAATTGACATAAATCTGGCCACCAGACTACTGGATAACAGAGCACATGGTATGCACACACTAACATCGATGATTGCAACCATCATTTCCTCATGGAATCAGTCTCATCAGTTGGCGATATGGCAGTTGGTTCCACTCGTAGTGCGGCGGTGGCGTTTTTGCGACGCGCAATTGTCACACTGCGACAGAACCAGCTCTGTGGAGAAAGCCCCAGGCATTGGCATGAGGCATGAGGCATGAGGAGTCTTCCCCCAGCGAACAGCCGTGCGAGGGACAAACTCAGGTCAGGTGCATATCGGCGGCTTCGTCTGCACGCGCCGGCGGGACAGCTGGGGGGACGACAGAGCGCAACTGTGGCGCGTCCCGGGTCCAGGCGGCGCCTGCGCCGTGACACAGCTCTCTGGCGTCCACAACTGCGCCAGGGGAACAGGTCGCCCCGAACACTTGGTGTTCCGCCAACACTTGCACACCCCAGGGCGTGTGACCCGCGCCAGGGGTGTCCAAGTTGACGATTTGCAGGTCGGAGTAATTGGTAGTCCGACATGAGGGTACGGTACCTGTTGTGCCGACAAGTGGCTGCCGGATGGTCGCGACACTTGAAAAACCAGACCCACAGATGTAGCCCAACTGACGGGGCGTCTGTGGCGGTCGGCCCGGCAGCCAGTTGCTCCCCTCAGCGGCGGCCCCCGGCCGGCCTCTCTGGGGTCAGCGTCACCAGCGCGGCGAGGTGGTACCACTGGTGGCCGGGAAAGCGGGCTGCTGCCGGTCACGGCACGCGCGGTCTGTGTGGACACCGAGGCTTCCTACGTGCAGTCATCGAGAGGAGGCCCTCAGCGCAGCAGAGCGGCGCCAACTTAAAATCCTGCCAACTGTCCGTGATGAGACACGTGCCACAGGTGACGGGGCGTGGCTTATCACCTGGGCGTGGACCCGCGAACTTTACCGACCAGGTGCGTGCGGCCATCTCGGGAGCGAGTCATCACTGTACGGTGCTTTGTCTCGGGCTCATTTTTTCGCGCTGTCCCCCAACTGCGAACCAGCTCGAACGACTGCGATTAACTCGTCACTTACGTAGCTTCGTACCAAATAACTTGAAATGTGGTAGACGGTCGCGTACGGGCTAAACATAATTTTGTTTCAAACCAGTGGCGGATCCAGAGAAAGGGGTGCGAGACCATGACCCCTCCCCCTTCCCCCTTGGGCCCGATAACGCTATAACCGGCTGAACGGAAGCAAGTTTTTTTTAACCACAACACGCAAAAATGTACGTCTTTGGACCTGCCCGCGACCAGGAAGGGCAACAAGCGAGAAAGGCCCTTGAGAAGAACAGATAGCTCTTCGCTGATTGAGGGAGTGGTGGTTGTGGGACGTTTAGGGCTCATTACGTTACCCAGAGGCCCAACGTTGTTGACGGAGATCCTATATGTCAACCTGCCGGGGCAATCCGATCACAAACAGCTTTCCACGTTGTTCTTCATCTTGCAGTTGCTAATAGGGCCCTACGTTGTTGTCGGGGCCCTATATGCTAACGTGACGGACATTCTTGACCAATCAGGGGCTCTCCACGGGCTCTTTTCATTCACCGTTTACTCGGAGGACCCTATGCTGTTGAAGGGATATATATATATATATATATATATATATATATATATGTGTGTGTATATATATATATATATATATGTCATATATATATATATATAATTTATAGCAAATAACAATATATATATACATATGTCATATATATATATCATTTATATCAAATAGCAATATATATATATATATATATATATATATATTGTTGACCTGCCGCGGCACCCTTGATCATTAAGATGCCGTCCCTATTGGGCCCATGAAGCTTACCATTTTTCGGAGGGTCCACGAAGCCCCTACAAGTTAATCGGCTGGGACAATCTTGATAGTTTCGAGGCCCTCCGCACCGGCCTTAGTCTCTGTTCCTGAAGTCTGGAGGACCTTACTCTGTTTCCGAAAGCACCACATGTGTTTGCGAGCGCCAGTCCTCATGCTGTTTCTCTCACTCGCATCCACGGGGCTTGTCAAATTAATTCATCCACAAAAGTCCGAGATCTAAAGAATAACGACTTTCCTTGTCGTCTCAGACGAGGATAGCAGCAGCCACGTGATCCGATGAATTTCAACGCCCACTGACCTGAAATAATTTCACGAGGCGCGAGCATCGCATATGTTATTTCCCTTGGTTCTTAAATTTTCTACACTCGCTATGCTTGTGTAGCACTTTTTAACACAGTTGGAGTACTAGTTTATTTAGAAGCTATTAATTATAGCCGAAACAAAAGCTCTGCATTAGTCAGTAGCCAAAAACTGGTCAGAGCATCGACCAGCTGGTTAGTCGCCCGAAAATCGCCTGGCCGTAACCAAAGATGAGATCAAAGGACGTGCTTGATGGCATTTAGCAGCCAACTTTAACAAATATTAGCATGCCCTCTCCGAAAGACTTAGCCTTAAAGTGACAGAACCCACTATGTCTGGAGGAAACGAGCGCGTTCCACGCATGCACAATGTGCATTGCACATACGCCCGACGCTGTATTTTCTCGGGTTACACACAGAAAGGTGGCTTCCCTTATAAAAACTGGCAAGCAAAAATATCTCGAAATATAATTAACGAAATCCAAGGATTGGGGGGGGGGGGGGAGCAAGCTCCTTGGGGCCCGGAATGTTGTGTGCCACTCCTTTAACGAAATCCTGGACCCGTCACTGTTACGTGTAATTGACTGTTATGATCGAGACTCCCGAGCATGGTACGGATTAGATTCAGTAATTATATCCCATGATGGGGGTTTATCAGTCAAAAGAAGGACATTCCTTTCATCCCTCTTTCAGCCAAGCCGGGTATCTCCAGCTCTCCGAATTTCGGCTGGTGGATGGCACTCCGTGATATGTTAGTAAGTTGTCTGACATAATATTGTAACATTTCGATGTAGGAGGTCCGTTTTTGTGCAGACATTCCGTTTGAGACCCCCATCGTGCAGTTTCGCCCTTATCTGACCTCGGCTTCCGCTGAGGTCATGAACACACGCTGCCATAGCATCCGGTGCCCGTAACTCACACAGCCCTGACCGTTTCACGCTCCACAAAACTGGTCTCTTGTGTCATAACTAGACATGCTGTCAAGTACTGATCCATTCAACTGCACGCGCTTCTCCCATACCGAAAATTACTCACCAGTGAAGACCGCCAATCGTTCACAAGTGAGTAAGCGCGAGCCGAGCAGCAGGCTTCAGAGGCCCTTCGCCGCGGAGGACCAGGTAAGCTGATTCGCGTTACGGGTGAAGGGTCGCAAACTCAGGCTCGTCAGCTCAGAGGCGCAAATTCAAACTTAAACTCGGGCTCAAGCCATTGACGTGCGATCCAAGGTCAACTTTGATCTCGTTCTAATTTTTAGCACTGCCAAAAGGTATACTTGTAGAGCACAACGCATGCTGTGAAATATATATATATATATATATATATATATATATATAGATATGTATATGCGTGTGTGTGTGTGTGTGTGTGTGTGTGTGTGTGTGTGTGTGTGTGTGTGTGTGCGCGCGTTAAGAGATAATATTTAGTCCAGCACATGAAACTTTCGTCGCTAAATTCTGCCGTCGTTTGGCATTGCGCGATCGGGTGGTAGGGGTCAGGGCTCACACAACAAGCACTGCTTAGCGTGATCTCTGATTCCAGAATCTATCCATTCAAAGGGTTCGAATCAAATCTTAAAAAAACTTGCTTTTCCTGGAACGGGAGCTTTCGGGATAATCAGCATCCTTTCCTTCGCGCCTCAGCCTTGGCCAGACGATAAGATTGAAAAAAAGGATTTGGGAGTGCATCAAGAAAATTTATGACACTCTAAAGGTCACCCAAAATTTAGCAAACCCATTCCGCTGAGGCAACGGATGTAGTATAGATGACTGCCTTACATTTCAGATGAACAATTCATGCAAGCCCTAAAAAACCACAAGCAATGCGCTCACGCTTGTGTTTGTTCTCGTTTTGCTGATCTGCTATTGTCTCTTTCTCATACGTATGTCCGACGGAGGCTAACAAATGGATCAAAGTTATCTTGAAAAACCCCATTCAACAAAAACAAGCTGGTACAAATCTTAGCATCCTACATTATCTGTTTTGATGACGAATAACGGATTGAAAAGTTTCTAACTTGTATGTCTCAATGAAGATTTGTTATATACTATACGCTCTGACAACGAATAGATTGTTTTCATGCCGTTCCAATTACATGCAACAGGTAAGCCACACTTATGCAACTGAGGATAAGTCTTTTTATTTTAAACGAGACTCTTTATAGACATTTCTGGCCCCATGCCAATATTTCGCTGGAGAGCGTTAGATGTAGCCTTCTCATTATTATTTACATCAGTGCTAGTTGGAGCTAAGCGGGGTTTGATGATTATCTTATTCAATGATCATTCATCTTGGATCATGTTAAGGTTTGCAAGCCCTGTAAATTTTGTAGCAGCTCCAAACAAGCTCTGTGTTTACTGTAAGTAAGCTCTGTAAGTGCTGGAAGTAATTTCTGTGACTACCGCATACCTATGAACAGGGACACCAAAAATGGAGGGATTCGTTTTATCGCGTCTGTGTCGGATTCATCGAGTGTTTTAATAAATTTTGGAAAATTCATGTAGAAATATATATTACATCATATCTGTCCACAAAAGCATGATGGTCTTAATGGCCCGCCAACGTCAATTTGATCAAATAATGCGTCTTTATATTTTATAATTCCTGCGAAGCATTTCTAGTCAAAAATCGTTGTAAGTGTGTAATTAGAAAATGAATGCTTTGAAAAGCTTTGCACCAAATTCCTTTGCAAAAACGGCTTTTTATTACGCATCAGCACAATGACGTTTTCAGACACGGGAACCATATATAGTTTGGTGTCTATCCTGCGCATGCTAAACAAATGGATATGCACGCCTGAATACGTTGAAATGTATTGGATTTGCACGCGTTAGACTGGTTTCAGCTGGGTTTGACCGGGTATGACTGACTTGAAATGGCTTGGGCCAGGCTGCACGCAAGGTTGCATCGACCACTTACAGGTCAAACTGATTAGCCCTTACCAGTAATGCAGTACCGAACCAATGCCGCACCAGCAAGGCGTCCAGTAAGGCGTAGGCTCAGGACACCAGGACTCGAGAGAGACTCGCCACCGGACCGGTCGGGCGTCTCCGGGGCAGTGGCGTCAATACGGTAACGCCGGCGGAGAGGTGGCACGCAACAGTCACGCATTTCTGCTGATCCAGGCTACCTGGTTCGCAACAGGTCAGAGAGTGGGGAATTCATCCAGTGTTACGCTATTGCCTGCGGTGCTTGTGCTTCTCACGAGGGCCATGCAGCGTTCACGTTGAGGCCATGCTCAAGGTTTCCAAAAGCCAATCGACTTTGAAAACGTTGCATTTTCAAGCAGGCGGTCCTGCGTGAATTTATATCCGTTTCGGGAATAATGTATTTCAACTCTGCGTTCTGATCTTGGGGCGTGCAGTTAAAACAGCATTTAGGTACGTTTACTTAATCATTCAGCTATGTGGTCAATTCAATGTCGTTTACATAGAACCAACTGGAGCAGGTATTGTCTAGTTCGTTGTGATCTGCTGCTGTGCTGTGATGCCATGGCTATCCGTTACATACGTCATCTCAGCTATGGCTATCTCCGGAGACGTGAGCTCTCAAGCGGTTCAACCATGCAGTTTAATCTTCATGGATGTCGGTCAAAAATGATGAATCGCTGAATGGTATCTTCGTTTATTCAAAACAGCCGCATTGCACATATCATGCCAGTATGGAAATCAACTTTCTGACATCATAAATATGTTTTCCTGAAATGGGCCAGGACACGGGGAACAGAAGCGACGTATTAAATCCAAAAAGAACGCAACGTATTGTATTTCAGTCTTTGGCCGGGCAGCACTACGTGTTTGAGCGTCTATTGCTATCATTTCCTATGAGGACTCGACTGGGCCTGTTGCGCGCTGCTCACGCTCGTCTCTGGACGGGGCATGCCCACTACCCCCTCTTCCAGTGCCCGGAGCAGACGGCCACCTTCCGGCCGAAGCAACCCTTCCGGTTGCAGCGCTTCCAGACGCAGCGGGAGCCGTTGCGGCAGCGGCGCCTGCAGAACGGGCCGCTACGCACACAGACGGATCTGCCGCGGCGCCGGACGCACCGCGAGCCCCGCCGACATCTCGGCCAGCAGCCCTTGGGCCTCACCGGCCGGCCCACCCGCAGCGCCCGGACGCAGCGCTGGGCACAGCCCACGCGGCAGCACTTGCGCCCGAACCCGCAGTCGGCGTCGCGCCAGCAGGCCCTGGCCACGCGCTTACACCAGACCTTGGAGACGCGCGGACAGATGCCGACCGACCCTGAAAGGGCAGAATTCGGGTCAGAGGTGAAGCCGGGTCACCGGCCTGCACCCGCCGGGAGCGGGGACGGGGGCGCCACGGCACACTGGAGGGACGAATGTACTTACGCCGTTGCCAATGGATGTTGCGTCGTCAATGGAGGCGCGGCCATCGGATACTGCGGAGGCCATGGTCACGCCAAACTCCAGCTTCAGCGCAGTCAAGTCCAGGCGAACGCAACACAATAATCGTACGTTTACCACATGCATCAGGTGCGTGTGCTGCTTCGCGTGTCTCAGAGCTGTCTGGCAGATTACTGGAGATCGTATCTAGTGTGAAACGGGTCCCCGAATGCCAGTAAGATCACGTCAGATCTCCAGTCGCCAGTGGATTGGGTCGTGTATACAGGCCGGTTTGACTGGACGTGCAGACCAGGTTATGCATGACAAGCTGAGTCATGTGCACCGCCCGACCCAGCAGCGCGCGCCAGACCGGACGCAGTACTCACTCCTCCGTCGCCGGCTGCCCGCCTCGGCCAGGGCGACCAGGGCGCAGCAGAGGACCAGCAGCGGCAGCAGTCTCATGGTGCGGCGGCAGCTGAGGCGGCTGTGCCGGCTGCAGCGGCGTCCGCTCTCTTATGGCCGGCCGACCAGGGCATCGGGGCCTGTCGAGCCCACTCAGCCTGTCGAGGCTGTCAACTGTCCGGGCCGAGGCGCGCGGCTTGGGCGACGGCTGACGCCGCTCCGCCGCCCGCCGGCCACTTTGTCTGACACGGCGGTAAACACATGATCCAGCCGCCTCCCGTGCCGCCGTCAGTCAGAGTCGCGCGCGGCGTGTCGATCTGAGACGCCGCTGTGGGAGTCAAGGGGGTCCAGGCAAGGCTTTGGAAGGAACCGTTCAGCATCATGGAGCGCAGACGGGTCTGTGGTGGAATGTGCTCAACGAATGGTCATTGTTGCGATGAGGTTTCTCTCAATTAGTGACTGAAGTGTATCGTGTTTTCATCTACATCAACAAATCGTCGTAATCGTCTTGCGTGCAGGAGCGCAGGAGCTTGTCCAGGATGGCGAGATAGGGGGACTCGGGGGCGGAGGGATTCGTGTTTGCTCCGTACCGTGTGTACCGTCAAAAGCGTAGCGCTAAATTCTCTCAATGGGTTGGGTTCTTGCCACCAAAGCCTCTTCATCACATGATAGTTTTAATGCCTATTTCCCGATCGCCTTACGTTACGTTTTTACTTATAACTTTGCGCTTTTGCATGATAAATGAGCAAGCTTAACGCAATGCCCACGCTCTCAGGTACAGTAATTGTTGCATTATGCAGGGAAAGGGAAGGCTTAGTGCCTGAGGGTTTGACACGATATCATCTTGGAATATTGAGCACTTACTTGGTTGCGCCGCATGAAGGGAAATGACTACGAACGCCGATAAGATACATATCGGGTGGAGGTTGGCTGCATATTTGTAAAAGAATATCATAAGCTATAGGTGTGATACTTTGCAAGTCGAATGCAGGTACCAGTGTGTATATGCCAAATTTCAGGGGAAGCACTCAATTATGATTCGTGCCATTAGTTGAGAGATAAAGAAGTGCGTTAAAAACAGACTGTCCAGTCTGTTATGAAAATAGGACTATGATACCACATGGGAACGCATGAAGAATAGAACTAAGCATAAGCCAAACCACAGTATTCAGCCTCTGCCCCCCCCCCCCCTTTATTCCTCCTGGATGCTGCTACTTGTGGCATTGGGTGACACCCTCCCCACGTAGCTAGATGGCCTGCTTCAGCGCGTCCAGACAAGGAGCCTTCTGGTGGCAACGCTGGGACACTTTCTGCGACGGTGTGTCCCAGACGCAGTGGTCCAGGTGACCCAGGTCAGGGCAGTTTGGTGGCATCTCGTCCTTTTTGGTGAGGCGGCAGAGTCCAGCGAGGAACTCCAAGTGTCTCGGCTTGCGTGTGAAGGGCGGCAACCTGCAGGAAAAGAAAGCCGGCTAGATGAAACTTCTCGCAGGCCGGCAGCAGCCTATCTTCCAGCAGGAGAATTTACGCACCCAAATATACTTTCGTATTCTGAATTTCCCAAAATCTTGTGTTTTTGCATCCCATGAAACGCCAGTGGTAGACATGAATTCCTTCGAAAACAATATTGGGCTTTCTTGGGTACAGATGGTTTGCCAGAGCCTTCCTCTTCTTGTCACTTTCGTAGATGTCCTGGTTCTGAACATTTAGCGGCCTCCCAAGCATGAATTGTCTCGTATTCTTCTTCTCAAGGTTCTTCTGGTTTGGTTATCTGATCTTCGCACAGGCTTGTTTTGGGATGTACAATCTCTGGCCTTCTGACACATGAGCCAGTCTTCTCAACTTTTCGGATTACCCGGATGATGAATTGCTTTCTCCATTTAAACTTCGTAAACTTGACCACAAAACGAGCTCGCCGGCAATATATCTACATAAAATAGTTTTTAATACTGTGCCGCATTTCCTCTGCACAAGCTGTTGACCTCTTATTAGCTGACGCCAACCATGGCCGGATGGGCTATAGAACAAAAGCAGCAAATCACTTGCTATATTTGTGTCCTGCTTTTTTCGACGTACTGCTCTTTTCCCGCCGGACCTTGGACCAGCAAAGAAGATTTCAGCGACAAAACATGATAGAGATGAATCATTTCGATGAATGGCATACCTACCACGTGTGCATTTTCTCAAACATCTGTAGGATCATTTGTGTGGCGTATACTGGACACGAATCCAGTGAAAATACTGTGTGTTCAAGCTGTCGAAAATGCGTATCTTTGTCTAGTCGAAATAACACCGTTATAGTTGGGAATGTTATAGGGAGCAGCTGGGTACACGTGCGCCGTTTCCAGTGAAAATGTATGCGTGCGAAGACAGACCAGTCAATGAAGTCGATATTTGCTTTTTATTTTACATATGTTGAAACGCAGTGACGTGGGGCTTCATATTTCGTGATCTTGGCTAGTGAAATGTCCTTACTACCTGCACGAATCCGCTTGCTCATAAAACAAAACACCGTCACTTGCAGTAGTTGTCTTATGCTTAACCGTAATTTGTCATCATCAGGAGGCAAAAAATATACGGTAATGAACATTTTTGGGAAATGCAGTTTTTCGTCGCAGATCTATTTCATTTTCCGTTTACAAAATCGAACAGCTGACTTAAAGGAAGCAATGCCGCACTGATACGATTTCCTTTTGTACCCATCGTCTGTCATGAGGCTGCAATGGTGCAATCATTGCAGCGTTTCCTGTGAGCGCCGATTTCGGCTCTTTTTGCTTTTGTAGACAATGCGTTTTCGCATAGAATGACGCAAGCTTTTGGAGCCGTCTTACTTCCTGTTTTCCATAAAGTTGTTATCGGTGCGGACGAAGTTGCTATCGGTGCGGCCGCACGTGCACGGGGATCCATTCTCCCGAGGCACCAAACGCCGAAAATGTGTGTTGACAGCCAACACGGGCCAATCCATAGCCGAGCCGGAAGGGCTCCATCACTTGAAACGCTCGCGCTATCTACGGTTGTGCACAAGGATAAGCCCCTGAGCGCCGGGTCTGTATACAGCGTGCGGTGCGGAGGCGCGTGTCCCCAACACCTTCTCCTCGCTCGTCCCCGCACCCGCGGCGGCCGGGTCAGCTGTTCAAATCTCTCCCCCATCTGCCGTCCGGTAATCAGCCCCCAATTTATACATTATTATTGTGGTGTGCTATTTTATTCGCCGGCGTCATTTGAAATGGATGTACACCGATAACGTGAGAGTTCGGGAGTCGGTCTAGCGGAAAACTGGTCGTTTGCCTGCCGCCCTGTCCACCTGCCCCCCCCCCCCCCCTCGCGCCCGGGTGCCGGGGTCCAGCTGTTCGGGGCACGTGGCCGGCGCCGCGCCACGCGTCAGGTTTGTCTGTGGCGGCACGCGTCACCGCAGGGGCATATGCAGATTGGCTGGCGTCAGGCGGCGGGCATGACTCGTAATTCAGCCGCAGTGTTGTAGTGAACTGCGATGGCCGGTACCGTTAATTGCGATTGATTTTGTTCCTCCCCCGGCACGTCTACGTCCAATGGAAGCTAGTTTGGGTAGAATACGTCAGACTGCCAGCATCGGGTACACAACGCAGCCTTCTAAGGCTGGAGAATCGCCTCCTACCCAGTCTATATTCGTGCTGGTGCGCAGCCCTAGGCGCGAACTTAGAAGGACGCATGTTCACACTCCGACGCACTTGACGTTCTTCGGTGGTTTAGTCACGGCCGTGGCACACGCGTCTCGTGGCCGGCGCCGACTGCATGACGAGAACTAGCGTCTGCCGAGAGTTTGTCACAGCCGGCTGCAGGGACGGGCGAGGCCACAGTCTCGTCAAGCGGCTGGACGTGACAGCCGGGGTTGTCAGTTTTTTGTAAATTGTTGGAGGGGGGCCGAACCGAAGGCCCGACACCCCCCCCCCCACATTTTTTCTCACGGGACTTAGCTCACTTTTTTGTGATGAAACACAATGCATGTTTTTAATTGTTGTATAATTTATAAAAGTCGTTAATTTAAGCAGCGTAGAAGTGGTGAAGAGTTGGATCCAGGGAGCAGGCACTGGACGCACGCGTCACTTGTGATCGACGCATGAAGGCGCACCTTTAGAGGCCGCCTCAGGGCGTCGATGGTGCTGTTCTATGGCGGTCATGGGAGGCGGCACGCAATTTGGTCGTGGAGTACGGGGACGGGGCTAGCCATGAAGGACTTAGGTCATCCCCATATTCCAGAGCTTTTTACTTTAAGCTCTCAAACCATTGCTTGTCTCATGGCGCTAGATATGTGAAGCTTATTGCATCGTTTATCCGCTTCGCTGCTACGATTTGTATCTTGTGGTGAGGGCAGCCACGACTTTTAGTTATGGGAGTGATGCGAGGCGCCACTACGCAGGAAGATCAAAGAAGATCATCTTTGTGTTATGATCATCTTTTACCCACGTTTTTTTTGTAGCATCCCAGCTAAAAAAACTTGGGGGGGGGCAGGGCCCTCACAAAAGAATGCAATCGGCACCCGTGTTGACAGCAGAAACCTGGCCCGAGGAGCCATTGCGTTTGACGTCGGTGACGCTTGAAGGTCGACAGACGCTATGTGGGACGTCGTTACTTCTTTGCTTATCCCATTTGTGCTGGCTGCCGCTATCTAGATGGAATGCGACACACGGCGACATCGATGTCGTATGAGGATATGCTGGGAGTTATGTCACGAGAGTTACGTTACGAGAGTCTAGTATTTCTACTGCGATGCATGCGCGATTCATTCTAAGGTGTTTTGCGCGTCTCAGTTCTCGTTTATGTCACCCTGGCGAGGGCGGATCCAATATTTCGTCAAGGGGATGGGTGGGGGCAAGCAACATCGTGCGGGGCTCCTATAGTTAAGTGTCCCTAAAAAAAGATAGAGCTTTGCCTACTCACGGGGTCTTCACTTTTGCTTGCGACTGATTTTTGGTCGTAACGAGGCCGAGAGACGCCAAGTTTTGTTATGCTTTGTGTGAGAAAGCTGCGTTCGTTCGCCGGTCATGGGCCTCTTCGGAGCCTTTGGGTCACCTCGGAAACCGAGGAGCATGGTTCCGTTCCGTTCCGTTCCGAATCCCCGCTCCCTTTCTCTGAGTCCGCCGCTGGCCCCAGCAGCGTAATAGATGGGTCCCCGACAAATGCACAGGACCATCCATTCAAATATGGAGTACCTGAGATACAATATGGAGGGTCCATGAATGATCGAGTGTGTCCGAGCAGGTTAACAGATAGGACTCCCGGTAAGAGAGTGGGCCCGCCCTTCAAATTGGCAGGCACCCAAGACCGGATGTAGATGGCTCTTGAACGATCGAGTGCGCCCGAGCAAGTTATTAGAAGGGATCCCAACAAGAGCGCTGGGCCCTCCATTCAAAAAAGCTCCCAAAAATAAGTGTGGAGGGCCCCCAAAATCGAGTTAACCCGAGCAGGCTTTCAGATGGCTCCTGACAGAAGCGTAAGGCCCTACATTGAAATATCAGGACTTACTATGCAGGGCCCCCGAACAATCCAGTGTGCCCGAAGAGGAGACGCAAATGAGCTCCCGACAAGAGCATAGGGCACTAAGCAAGTGACGTAGAATTTGAAGGGCCCTGGACCAATGGGCCCATGACTGTATCGTGAGTGTGTCAGCAGGTTAACTGAAACTAACGTGAAGGGCCCCTGGACAACTAAAAATACACCGGTAGGTCAACATGTGGGGGCCCGCCTATAGCGTGTAGAGCCTTTCGGGCAAATGGAAAGAATCTGTGAAAGGCCCCTGATTCACGAGAGTGCCCCGACATACTAGCAGGAAGGGCCACGGCAACAGCACATGGCCCTCCGAGCAAATGCAAAGAAGCCGAGGGCAACGTAGAAGGTTCCTTAACGATCGGATCTACCCTGCAAGTGGACATATAGGACCCCGGAATCACCATAGGGCCTTTGGACAGCGTAATGAGCCTTAAAATCTTCCAATCATCATCCTTTCAATTAGAACAGAGTAGTTTTTATTTACTCACCGATCGTCTATTTTTGTTTGCGACTGTTCATGGTCACCTGCGAGCCCAAAGAAGCCCAATTCTGCAGCACTTAGCGTAAAAACTGCGCTTGTTCGGCCGGCTATGGGCCTCTTCGGAGCCTATTGGGCCCCTTCAGGGCCCAAGGGATGGGCTTGGCACTGTGGTCCCCTTCTGTATCGCCCCCTACACCCAAGAGCTATCTCCAGCACCATAAAAATCATTGCGCGACGATCGGTCATCCCACAGTTTCCCCTCTTATACACGGGCGAGTTTTACTTTACACTTTGGTGTTGGTATTCGCAAACGTAAATCCGACCGAAACGGGATAGCGTGATGCCTCCCAGCTGTGTTGGTACCCCAACGGCTTTCATACAACATTATCACCGCCACTTCTGTATTTATAAAACTGGAACAAAGCCTGTCCCCGTACAAAAGTATTGCAAAACGATGGTTGGCACCAATTAACGCTACGAAACATACCATCACGATCACAGATCTGACGTTTGTCTTCATGATTCGAACCCAAACGTCAACAAGCGGATAGCTTGACAACGATTGCTTACGCATGGACGCACTGCACAGCAGCTGCTCGCGCGTGAGGGACGCGGTGCCCGCTCAGTGACACCGATGCGTGCATCTTTTGCATGTTGCCTATGTTTTTCGTATTGCACGTAAAAGAATAAATATCGTGAAATGTAATCGCTATGCTCGGTCTACGGTCAAAGTCTTCCGCTTCAATACCACAAGCTACATACATTACGCCGTCACGCACCGTTTTAACGAGAGGTCACCCGCCACTAGCGTTCGAAATCGTGTCAATGTCAGCAGCACCCACTCGGAATAGTGTCAATGTCGATCCTAAAACAGACCTCTGAAGCGTCAGGCGATTCCACTGAACATGTCTGGCATTGCGTGTCGGAGCGCAGGCTCTCGGACGTCAGGCCGGCGCCCCGCTCCGCACCGGACGCTGCTACGCCGGTGGTGTGAACCAGAGCGGCCGTTGTGGGACGGCCGCCTCGGCCGGCGGCGGTGGCAGGCGGGGGCCCGGCGGCGACACGGATGCCGGCGGCGTGATGGCGGCCGGCGGCGGCTCGGTCGGCCCCTCGCCACCTGAGCGGATCACGCTGGCGCGGCCGCACCCCCAGTCCACAGCCAGCCCGCCCGCTGGCAGCGCCGGCGACGGCGCCGCCGCCGCACCCCCACCGCCGCTGTCCCAGCGCCGCCGCCGCCGCGCAGCCGGCTCGCAGCAGCAGCAGTCTAAGCCGCGCGCCGGCCCGCGCAGCTCGTCGCACCTGCCATCTGGCGACCCGGCGTCGATACTACATCTGCGTTTTTCGCCGCGGGGTTGTTCTGCTCGGCTAGCGTGGCACCCATACAGCTGATGGGTAGCGTTTGCCGTGTTACAGCGCATCACCATCTGCGGAGGAAATGTGATTGTGCGTCGGTTTTCAAGTAAGTTCAGGTCGGTCAACTTAGACTTATAGAGTTTCAGTCATGCGTAATGTCACCAGAGAGCTTTCTGGAATTCAATGGAGCCTCCACCTTGCACGAGGTCAAAACGGTTTCCGTTTAGGGGTGCATCCACATCACTAGCAAGAAGGTACATCACCCTGAAAACGTTGTTTATGGTTTAGAAAAGATCTAGGCACTCATATTCTAAAAAGCTAAAAAGGTTAGAAAAGTGAAAACAGTCCTAAATAGTTAGATAATTTGTTTAAAATGAAACAGTCTTAAAAGTTAAAACATGAAATGGTTCCAGCAGTTTTGCAACTCTAAAAAGCAAAACCAGAAGTAACGACATTCTATACACAACTTCTTAATTGCACTACCTTTGTGCGCGTAGCACTACCAAGACCCCCAATGCCCACTGACTGGCACCAGAGGGCCCTGTTGACCCACCTCGGGTTCAACTTTGACAGTCTCCAGCCTCAATGGACGTTCAGAGCTGGGAATGTCACCATCCAGTCGGTCTGGCGCGGCGTAGGTGCCTGGAACACGACATCACGCTGCTGATCGTCCGGAACACAGCCAGAGAGGCGCATCAAACACACAACGACGATGTCAAGTCCACCATACTGGTTCGCCGGACGTCCGTGCTTCAAAACACAGTAGCAATAGGTCCCTTTCATGCCCTGGATAGGACGGGCCGCCGCTCCTGCCAGCGTATGGAGACATGCATGCCGATACCACTACCACGCCACCATCACCGCCCGTGGCGGATAAAATGAACAGATGCAACGGGGTCACCGCTGCACACCAAACTGCTGGCGGGTGGCGCCCCCCCCCCCCCCTCAAGCACACACGCATACACTCCATGAACATCCACGATGTCTGGCCGTCACCACGCGCTACGGGACGGCACCTGCCTACTTGAAGTCTGCCAGAGTGTCATTGCTGCGCTAGACCCGCCCGCGATGCCACCGGCCAAATACTCGTGTATATGCACCCGATCGGAGCCTCGAAGATCTAGGTGACCTCTCAAACTCGGACGGACAAGGCTTCATCAGCCCCGGTGTTCTCCTCCATCACAACCTTCACTGACTTACTGACAGACTGGAGGCAGAGTTCAGAGCTTTGCTTAATCAAAGTGGGGGAGGCTGACCTGCGTCGCACGCGTCCAGTTCGCTGGGTCGCTCTGCCTTGAGGCACACGCCGTCGTCCAGAAGAGAGCCGTCCATGACCACGCCTGCGTACTCCGTCCGGCTGGGGGGAGGGGGGGGGGCAGTGCACGACTTAGCGAAATGTAATAACAGCGTCGACCTGCACAGCCCGTAGCTTCTGTCAAGCATGACGTAAATGAGCAGACATTCCGGTTCAGTCAGGTATTCTGTGTGTAAACAGACGACCCTGTTCGGTTCGGAGCAGGCTCAGTTTTCCCAGGTCGCATCTGACTCACGTGAGTACGTAGTTGATGCACAGGATCATCTGGTCCCGGGCGTTCTTGCTGCTGCACACCACGGTGGCGCACGTCTGCAGCCACGTGTAGCCGCCATTTTTGCTCAGCAGGCGGTAGTAGTTGGTGAGCACCTGGCCTTTGTTTAGCACTAAAAACACCGGAACCGGTTGTCAGTTGATAACAGCTCATGGAGGCTGCACTCATATGTTCAAGCTTTTTGATAGGGTCGGTAGATGACGCGTTTCTTTCTAACGTGAATCGTGTGTTTTTTAAATACGTCTCTTTGTGGTGCTGTCATATTTCCACAAAAGGGCTGCAAAGTATTATGCGGCACATGGCGACAGGGTTTAAATCATTTCAAAGTGATTCATTTCGTGTAGTTAGCAACCATTAACACCGTTACCATCAGGGCTTTACAACGCACTCAGCTGCTGATGCTGTATGGTGTCGCCTGCTTCTCACCCTGACAGGAAGGGCGGGCATCGCGACGAATCAAACCCAGTGCTTTTGGTTTCCCAAACGCGCATCTTGATCACTATGCTATCGGCATTTCAGTCATTCATCACCCCGAAGCGTCTAAAAAGTTGCCTTTCCAACCAGCTTACGGTCTACATGCGCCTTCCTCAGATGGTGCACATCAGCGCCGTGGCAGAGCGTGTAAAGGCTGCGACCCGTCAGCGCCTCCGACGTGAAGTTCAGGTGGTCAGGTACTCTGAAAACACACAAACCCAATGCCGTATTGCTCACTGACAGCTCAACAGTCAACGAACTCTTCGCATGAGAAGCATTACAATGCCAATCGATAGTCCTCGTCAATCTTGACACGGAACTGCCCAATTGATATCGGTCACCTTACTGATGACGTCACAGGTCAGCGGATGCCGTAAACAATCGTGAGGATCTTCGTGCACCTTCAGGGCGCTCTAACTGCGAAATGATAGCCACATGGGCTTAAAACGCTACCACACGAAAGAGCATGTCCCGACGTTTCAGAATCGTGTTATGGTGTCAATGCTAAATGTCAGATCAGGTCAAGGCCATGCCAGGCCAGTTACAGGTCAAGGGCATGCCAGATCAGGGTCAGAGGTCGTTTCATTTAACATGAATTTGGGGGTGCTCTTTTAGTTTACATGATATACGGAAGTCTTTGGTTTTGAAGTGTGTCCGTTACACCGATTTATGCATCCCAATGGTGGTAACAAATACAAATGCAACAAAATACCACACAAAATAAAATGGTTGGCACTTAAAAATACAGATACAAATACAACTAAAAATAAGGAAAAATAAAGAAAAATAAGGAAAAATAAAGAACACAAAATAAATGGTTTGGCACTTAAAACTTGACCACATATGACATGTGGTGTCGACCTAGTGTGACATAGTACAATATGACTAATCTTGGCTGGCGTAAAGTCACACCAGCCGACAGTCTACACCAAAACTATCCAAAACAAAAAATGGCATTGAAAATCTGGTGTACATACCCATGCAATCCGGAACTTATTCTCAGAACTCGCAGGGGATATACTTCTCCGCCCCCCAACAATCAACAATTAAAATGCTGAATTTAAAAACACTGCCATTAGAGTGAAATCATGCACCATACAACGCACAACACAGCAGAGAATCGTCTCCGGCTGCAGCAAACAAACCTAAGGTTATCAGTGTGTGGAGGCACCGCGTACCCCGTTGCCAGCGTGGGGCCGCGTCCATCGTCTGACCCGTCGGCCGGCTGGTGCTCACCGGGGCTCGCAGTGGGCGATCCGGAAGTCGAACGTTAGCCTGGTGACGAACGCCTGGCCGTCGAGACGAAACTCGTGCGCGCTGGGCGGCGGCAGAGCCACGGCCACGGCCACCAGCCCTAGCAGGCGGACCTGCCGGCGGCGCGGCGAACAGGCGACCGCCGGCCGCAGCCGACACTGCAGCAGCAACGCCTGCGGACGCACGGCGGGCGTGAAATGACGTCACCGCCGGCCGCAGCCGACACTGCAGCAGCAACGCCTGCGGACGCGCGGCGGCCGTTGAATGACGTCACTGACGCGATGGAGCGGTATTCCACGGACAAAGTGACGGCATGCGTTGCAAGGTACCGATTCACTTTGCAATACGCTCAGTGAGAATTGCCTTTTGCGCTTTGGCCCCGAAATGTTTCGAAAGAAGAAATGTCCAGCAACGGGGCGAAGGTCGGTTAAAAAACCTGACGGACACCCTATACCATACTTCCAAAGTCCTTTAAGTTGCACATGTCGCGAAAGCTAAACGAAACTACCAACGTTGTCAGGCCCATTCAGACCGATAGTTTCGCCGCACAAAAACTTCAGCTCGGCGGTAGTTGAGCCACATCTCGCCGACCTCGCCTGTGTTCTAACGCGACGTTGACGTTCTGTTCTCACTTTCCGTCGCCTGTGTTCTCACCCGGTATCCTGGCGTCCTGAGATGGCATCCCCGCTTGGTCAGCGTGGACTTCATACGAACACAAACGGCCCTCTCTAGCCCACGAAAAGCGCTGTTGGTCTCCACTGTCATGGCGGCGTTCACTGCAACAGGGTAGCAGAGTGCTCGGTGGAACGGTCGTGGGCTTGGGCGATCACACTGCAACCGCCGCTGGAACTAAGACAGCGCAATACTAGCATCAGTCGAGGTGCTCTCAAAGCCAGGTTTACGAGACGTGACCATAGGGAATTGCACGCCTTCCCATAAGTCTAGCGTCCGAGTAAAATATAGCCAGTCCCGTCCCTGCAGACGGATCCATTCGTTTGCAGGACACCTGTAACACGCGTGGCATGATGAGTTGGCGCATGCATGGGTGAATCCGCCGCGTCTCACAGATACGCAACACTGAATCGGGTGATTGCTGTTTGGACTACAGGGTGTGTGTAAGAGAAACAGAGACAGATTCATAGTTCTAGCTTACTTTTATTTGCTTTCCGTGGCGATGACAAACTGAAACCATGATGCGTATTTGGAATGAGATGGATGCTTACCCATTTTTTATGCCCAGTTTGACAACCTGCAGGAAGCATTCTGTCTTCCAGAAACTGCACTAGGTGCGGTGAGAAAATGGGCTTAAAGACGACTGGTGCGTAGAACATGGCACTGTGCCTATCAGATACCAGTTTCAAATGGCAGCTTGGAGATTTTACGAAGGTTTTGATCGTGATTTACTGCCAACTTCAAAATCCTTATTGAGTGATTATGTGGAATAATTAGATTCTGCGGATCCAGTGTTAACAAAATGAAAAGAAGCGTGGACTCGTGACAGACCATTGTGACTGTGTGAGTGCTACCGCACGCGCAGTAGGTACCGCATGGCGAAGATGCATATGGGTGTCATCGTCCAAGAAGCGATGCTCACAGACACATACACGAATTAGTTTCACTGTCCTGATTGTAGATATCCACAGGTCGACTAGCGTCACACCATCCGCTGAGGTGGGGGGGGGGAGGGGTAGGGCACCACCCAAAACGTATCTCGCCGTCCGAGTTGTGGGTACCCATCATCCCACAGGTGTCTCGCCGTCCGGGTCGTGGGTGCCTGCCATCCCACAGGTGTCTTATCATCCGGGTTGTGGGTACTCACCATCCCACAGGTGTCCGTCCGGGTTGTGGGTACTCACCATCCTACAGGTGTTCGTCCGTGTTGTGGGTACCCACCATCCTACAGGTGTCTTATCGTCCGGGTTGTGGGTACCCACCATCCCACAGGTGTCTCACCGTCCGGGTTGTGGGTATTCACCATCCTACAGGTGTCCGTCCGGGTCGTGGGTGTCTGACATCCCACAGATGTCTTATCATCCGGGTTGTGGGTACTCACCATCCTACAGGTGTCCGTCCGGGTTGTGGGTGCCCACCATCCCACAGGTGTCTCACCGTCCGGGTTGTGGGTGCCCACCATCCCACAGGTGTCTCACCGTCCGGGTTGTGGGTGCCCACGGGTCCGGCGCGCTCGTCGCCGGGCGGGGCCAGCGGCCGGCCGTGGCTGAGCGTCAGCCCGGTGAGTGCCGCGAACTCGGCATGGTCCTGCGCGTGGATGTAGTCGAAGATGCTGCTGCCGCACATCTCCACCTGCGCAGTGCGACAGAGGGTGTGATCTTATTGCCACACACTGCCGGACATGCTGCTGCCACACACATCCACATGCTCAACACGTCAGGCAGCGTGAGGAGTCGATCACCACCTTTTATCTGTCTCTGGAACCGATTCGCACAGTCCCCAGTCCCCAGTCCCCAGTCCTAGTGAGTTCGCGCATTTGCGGCCTTCTCAATACCAGGCGTGTCTGACGCCCGACAACCGACAGCAAACGAGCGGCACGTAGTTGTCGTCCACTCCAACACTGTCAGTGTATGGAGCTGGCCATATAGCGGATAGCCCGGCTCGGCACGCAGGACCCCACGCGAGGGGGGGGGGGGGGAGCGGAGCAGCGGGGAGGCACGCCATGACAGGAACAGGCCGGGCTAGGAGGCCAAGTCGTGCGCGACCTGGAGTCCGAACACCAAGTGATTCAAGCTTAAGCCGACAATACAGCCAATTCATGCGAAGCTCCCTTGGCATGTTTAGGACTGAAAGGCACGCAGCCGCCTGCCTTCATTTGCCCTCGCATACGCCGCGGGCCATGTCCGGTCTCCGGCGCTGTTGTCACTCATGCAGCTCCCGAAGAGAGCACGGCGGGTGCACCGGCCGCGTACAGTGACCGCAATAAGCGCGGGCGAGTGGCACAGGAGCCCTGATCGCGATCCTCATTGGGGGACATGTTTACAGCCTGTTTCTCGCTACAAGCTGACAGGCAGGAGACCGCGCGACGGGTGGGGCCTCATGCAGCGCGCACATATCAGCGCAGCAGATCGTGTAATGGATGCTAAGCCCATTACATCCTGTCCAGACAAGCACATCACGATGGTCAGATTGCGATGGCATGGGGCGTTTCAAAGCCGTGCCTCGGTCACTCAGCACATTCATTCACCAGGGGAGGAATTTACTGAACAGCTGGCGTGCTACATATGTGTAAAAGTCGACGCGGGTCCACCTAGAAAGAACGAAGGTACCAACCTGGGATAGCCCTAGATATATGGACACCGTTTCTGAGATGTACAAAAATCTTCCATCAGCTCCTAGTGTGAAGGCGAATCCATCCAAGGACTGAAACAGGGGAACACTTTCGATGAGCAAACGCTTATATAAGCGACCATACAGATCATGGCACAGCACAGCATGAGAGTTTACGCGCGATTGCAGTACTGGAGGTGCTCTTTAACACCTTCGATGTGAAGCGAATAACTCTGCAATGAGATGGTGGAGAAATTCGCGAAGGAGCCTAACAATTTGCGCCGTTTTTAGCATATGCCCGGTTGGCCGGTTGAATGCAACGCATATGGATATGGGGGGAATATTGGCCACCATGAGATTTCAAATATGTTAAGAGGGCTGGAGACATCGAGTGAACAGGGTGAGTAGGGAGCTATGTGAACTTATTTGTGTTCAAATTTTAAAGTCCGTTAGTCGCTACCTCTAGGTTTGATATGGTCAAGTAAGGTCAAACTTCAGATCGGGTTCCGAGGTGGTCTGAGACCTCATGCTATCAGCTTTAACATGGATGCCCCTTATAAGCAAAATGTCATCGGTATTCATATCAGATCATTTACCTTAGTGGACATTTAAAGGGTAAAAATGACCAAAAACCTCCAATATCGTTAAAAAGCCTCTCCCGATAGCCCAGCTGGTTAGAGCCCCTGCCTTCCGATTCATCCATCCATGGCGGGATGGGCTCGAGTCAGTTCAGGAGCACGCCATTGCCTTTAACAAACATGGCCTGCAGCCGGTGGCAGCGGCTGCGCTAAAGATCAGGTGACGGCAGAGGTCAGGAGACACCGCGCCGAGCATTGCGGCATGTTAAACTTTTGCTAACAAATTTTGCCGTTGACATGGAATTGCACGATCGGATACTAGGAGTCTGGGCTCGCACAAGCACTGCTTATCGTGACCTCTCATTCCAGAAATCCACCCACTCGAAAAGCTCTGATTTAGTCGTAAAATATTGCGTTTACTCTATTGTGTGAGCAGCCTTTTCAGCTGTATTAGTCCATTGCACAGCCGTGCAATACACACGCACAATACCCACAGGATACGTGCGTTAAATATATTATTTTTGTTCCTGGGCACCGACAACGGGATTCATAGATCTTGGATCAATCAGTGGGTCAAGCAGTGACATCAAGACTTACCTGAAGTATATGGGCTCCCTGGTGGCAATCATACGCATCTGCAGCAGCTGTCGGAATCCCCCGGGGTCGGATGTGTGGGCCTGTAACGTAAGAAATCTGCGATCGATGTGCATAATGCTTAGTGGGACGTCTACCCACGCATGTCACTAGCCTACCGAGGCCGTTAACGCCAGCCTGCCCGCTGGAAGCCAGGGTTGGTGAGAGCTGTCTGCCGAGAAAATCACGCCCTAATCTCCCGAGACAAAAAGCCTTACGTTGTATACATCCGGCAGCTCGCATCCATGAGACGGTGGACTCGACTTCGTGGACGACACGATGCAGCTGGGCAATGATGCATTGGTAGCCGTAAATTGAAATTATATCGCAACTAAATCATCGCTCAGCACAGACCGTGTTGTTGCCTCAGTCCCTGGCTCAATGTAATGGCTATGCCGGCGAGAAATACCGGTCAAATAAGCCGCATCATAACGGGTTTTCTTGATATAGTGCTACACATTTCGTGTAACACTCCAAACACATGCGTTGGGCTTGTTTCTCAGTGCTACAGCCGAGTGTAGTACACGGTAGTGCCGGAGCGCCCACGACCCCAGTGCCGGAGCGCGCACGCAGTCTCGGTTCCGAGTAGTTCGGTGTACCGAGCCTGCACCGGAGCCGGAGAGTGTGCCAACGTGTCTAGAGCCTCCGCCGGAGTCGCAGAGCGTGCCAGCGTGTCTGGAGCCTCCACCGGAGTCGCAGAGCGTGCTAGCGTGTCTGGAGCCTCCATCGTAGTCGCAGAGCGTGCCAGCGTGTCTGGAGCCTCCGCCGGAGTCGAAAGAGCGTGCCAGCGTGACCCGAGCCTCCACCGCAGCTGGGGAGCGTGCCAGCATGACCGGATCCTGCGCCGGTGCCAGAGAGCGTGCCAGCGTGACCAGAGCCTGCGCCGGAGCCGGAGAGTGTGCCAACGTGTCCGAAGCCGGCGGCACAGGTCTGCGTGAGCTGAGCTAGCGTGTGCGACTAGCGTCAGAAGTTACGTGACGTCGATGCAGCGGCAGGATAGCCCAGAAATGCCCCCGTTTCTGGTATACGCATCTACCGTGTGACGCTCATATCAGGGTGAGACTGAGCACCACTTAATTCAGTATCGTTTGCTTTCGTAGAGACAGTCATGCCAACTGAACGAGATTCAACTCATGCTCCGAGAATAATGCAATCCCTGCAAAAGTATGCCACTTGCTTCCACGTGGGAGACAGTCCACGAGATCTTGTGACCGTGATGTAGTTAGTATTTATTGCATTAGTTCTCTCCTTACATCGCAGAGCACGCCGTAAATCGTGACACTTCTAAAAATGTGCAAAGTGATGCCGTTGCCACGCCAATCATTCTCCAGAGCAATGCCTTTTAGAACCGGACTTGACCCTCCCACACACTATTCAAATGCACCCCCTAAATGAGCCACGCACAATATTCCTACGCCAGGCTGTGGAAGTTATGAACTAGCGTCGAGAATATTCGGCGTCGGTCAACGTGCTGGAAGCCGCAGCGCCGAGAGATAGCGTGAATCCTTATCACCGGCTGCTGCCGCTGCTGAGCATGAACGCCTTGATGAGTGGATCAAAAGCAGCCCGAACTTCGCACCCAATACCGAGACGACCATTTACCGGCAAAACTGCAATATAGTCTTAACAATAGCCCATTCGGTATCAACATAGTACTCCAGAGGCTGGTGGGTCAACCGTAGTTGTAGTCGTCTTCTCTTGCGCCTTTTGGTCAAGATCGTGCATTATTGCACGCTTCACTACGCCGGGATTATACGACAGAGTTCGCTGTAGAGCTCCAACCCCAGCCCCAGCCCCAGCCCCAGCCCCAGTCCCAGTCCCAGTCCCAGTCCCAGTCCCAGTCCCAGTCCCAGTCCCAGTCCCAGTCCCAGGCCCAGTCCCAGTCCCAGTCCCAGCCCAGCCTCAGCCTCAGCCCAGCCTCAGCCCCAGCCCCAGCCCAGCCCAGTCCCAGTCCAGTCCCAGTCCCAGTCCCAGTCCCAGTCCCAGTCCCAGTCCCAGTCCCAGTCCCAGTCCCAGTCCCAGTCCCAGTCCCAGTCCCAGTCCCAGCTCCAAACAAAGCCCAGTCCCAGCCAAACCCACGTCCCAAGCCCCAGCCCAAGGCGCCGGCCCCAGCTCCCAGGCCCCAGCCTCCAGCCGCACGCGGCCGTGAGCACGCGTGTAAACCGGGATCGGTTTATCGGTTCCCGTGGCTTGGTCACCGGGAGAGGCTAATACGTCATTGTCAGACCTTTCAGACACGGCTCCATTGCCGGCGTGAAAAGAACACAATTACGAAGCTTGTAGCATGCTGAATATGAAGCTCACTTCTGATATGTGACAGGGTCGATTTTGGGCATGTTTTAGGTCAGAGCCGTACCGACCAGCCGGTCAGCTAAGGTGGCAACGTGACATGTTTTCGCACAGTTACATAGGGAAACTGCGTACAATCGGTCAGTACCATGTTCCTGCATACACATGGCCCTGCATGTCTGAATTAAGATGGTTGTAACCAGAAAGATCGTTAGTGTATTCTCAAGCATTTATTTCGATGGGGCTGGGAACAGCCATGGAGTCTTTATGAACTGCCAGCTAACACTAACACGGCTTCTAAGCGACCGGCCAAGAAGCCACCGTGGGCCAGCGAGCGCAACCCGGAGCCAAGAACCGCAAAGGAAGAATGAAGGTCACGGACAGGCCAGCGCACCTCGACGCGCGTCGTGCTGACCGGGAGACTGCATGTGTGGTGTTAGCCTTCTTGGAGCGTTTCTGGATACGACTGCGCCGCACGATGCGGAACTGCAACACCGCGGTGGACGGCATCATGTGCGCAGCAGCCTTGATCCGACTGAGCTCAATACTGGAAATCGACGGGTGGAAAGGCTCCGTAGACCTATGGTTGGGAAATTGGCCGGTAGAAAAGCTCCGTAAACCTATGACTGGGAAATTGGCGGGTGGAAAGGCTCCGTAGACCTATGGCTGGGAAATTGGCGGGTGGAAAGGCTTCATAGAACTATGGCTGGGAAATCGGAGTGGAAAAGCCCGTGGCACTGCAGGTGGAAGATCGGCGGGTAGAATGATGCTTTGGCGCCATGGGCGCTTTGTTACTAGGGCGGATCGTGTCCATGAAGCGTCCTCGCCAGGTGTTCGCAGAAAGGCACGGGCAGCGTATTCAGCGGAGGAAAATATATAAATGACTCATAACGTCGGTGGACGTACACTGGCCATTTAAGACCTGATTATTAAACACTGTACGGGCGGTGCTCGCGGGGTGATCTCACCTCGGGCGGTCGGTCGGGCAGCGGAACCCGGCCCTAGGGCGGCTCGTGCCTCACCTCGGGGCGGTTGGTCGGGCGGCGGGACCCGGTCCCAGGGCGGCTCGTGCCTCACCTCGGGGCGGTCGGGCAGGGCGGCGGGACCCGGTCCCAGGGCGGCTCGCGGGATGGCCTCACCGCGGGGCGGTTGGCAGGGCGGCGGGACCCGGCCCCAGGGCGGCTCGTGGGATGGCCTCACCTCGGGGCGGTCGGCTGTGTGGCGGGACCCGGTCCCAGGGCGGCTCGCCGCGCCCGCTGAACTCGCCCATGCGCAGCCAGCTGACGGCCAGCCGCACCACGGACGCCTTGTCCAGCTGCGAGGTGATGGCGCCCGGCAGCGGCAGCAGCTTGGCCAGCTCGCAGAACTCGTGGTTCTCCTTGCCACGGCGCGAGCGGGCCGCGTCACGTGATCTCTCCTTGCGGACGTCCATCGACCTGCGGACGGATCACGTGATGGGCTCAGATCGTGTCCTGCGACCTCTGCTGACAAGCATTCCTGGGTCCGCCGACGGCACACCTAGTGAGGCCAAATCGCATCGCATGAGAGTTGAGTTAGATTTCACAAGAAGGCGAAAGCTGCGAAAGTAGCATGAGTGTTGCCGCGATTCCATACGAGCTGCAGAACAGCATTGTCGTCTCACCATGGGCAGCCCCACCTCAAATCTCACCTTGTTTCAAGGCGTCTTTTTCCAGGCCAACGAAATGCAGTGAGGAGCAGCTAAGTACTGAGCTCTATAGGCACGGCCGCTCGGCTGCGTCCGAACGATGAACCGGGCAAGCACATGATGCCGACATCGTCTCGAAAAGGCATGCAAAAACGGTCATTTAGACGTCCAGGCTTGCGTGCCCACGCTGGCCGTGGCCTTCTCTAGGACTTCCCGAGAAATGGCTCAAAGGATGGCGCGAATGTTGAAGGTGCATCTGCGTAATCGTGTACAGTCCAGCGCGTCTCCGATAAGGCTTATCAAGTTTGTCACACCAGGCTTATATCTCCTCTTCAAGCTTCTATCCTTCCACCCCCTAGATGCGTTGAGTTGCCTACCTCTGCCCCTTCGCTCAGTATGCACGATGTGCTCCCTAAGGAATGCGGACGGGTTCGGTAGGATGTTCGAAACAAACGAAGTTAGCTGGTTCGTTGAGGTTTCGGACGGCGACGCTCAGACAAATTTATTTAAGTTGGGCCCTTTTCGCGCAGTCCGGTTCCGGGCAGTAACTTAATCATCCCACTGTCCATTTCTAGCTCCAATTCGGTTTTGCTTTTGTTTGGAAACCACATGGTACTGGAAGCATAAGCCATTTCCATATTCGAGAGAATGGTAACATGTTGCTGTTCTTCGAATGTGCAAGCTACGCTAGCGGCTAGCTTTGCGGTGGTGCGGCAAGAGGCAGTCGTGTGATGCTCTTGCTTTGACCTTCTTGGTTTAAAATTCACGGACGCATGTCGCTGTTTACACCCCAGAGGCGTTTGGTTAACAGGTTGGGACATAACCGTGCGGACCATCTGGCTTTCCGTTCCAGCGTCCACGAAACAAGCCATGCTTCACCACAGCTGACTGACGCCCACCGCGGCACCAGCAGTCAGTTCATTTCCTTTCATACAAACAGCATCAATGTCTTGTCCACAATGCGCAGTTCCAATGATTAAGGTCAAAAATGAATTAATGCCTCATTCGGTGAGCTGAATCAGCTAAATAACTGAGCGACAAGACTCATTGATGTCTGACACTGGGCTATGGACGGTACAAGACAGAATCAACGTTAGATACAAGATTGCTTCCTGCACAGGTTTTGGATGCACACACCGCCTGAGGCTGGTTTAATGGGGCGAGCGTCCCCAACGTCTCGGGAAACTGCCATACGCCGCCAATTAATTATGACAAATTATGATTAGTAAGAACGGTGTAAGAACCGGTGGTTTTGCTGCTGCTAAACACGAATGCAAAAGCTGAATGGCTACACTGCCGTTGGACATGCGCAGTGAATTGGGAGAACGCGGGGAAACTGAGTAGTCATTCTAAGTCTCATCAGTTCTTGTTGTTTCCCCGCTTTGGACTTTCAGTGGAAAGTCCAAAAGTGAAAGTAGAAGTTCAATGGGAGTGGAATTTCAGTCCTCGCAACACCCCATGGGCTCCTCGAGAACGGAGCACCGCCATGCATACTGGTAATCCATCCATAAATCAAGTGTGAATGCGGCCATTAAACCAATCAACATCATTCGCAGGGACCTAATCCCGGAACAGTAAGAACCGTACAGAGAGGCTGACCGTATGACCACCGATAAAACCTGTGAGTGTTTCCTCCTTCCCGCGCCGCCCCGGAGGTCAGCAGGAACCCCCTCGCGCCACGGAGACAAATCGCCACCAATGACAAACGACACGGCATTGTGGGTAATCTCCCCTCAGGTGTCCGGCGAGCTCCTGGGTGGTCAAGTATCCGGCATACGTCGCATGCCAAATACCACATTTCCCATCTAGAAAGGGACAGGATCTCCCAGCCCACGGACTCCCCGCCCTGCGGCAGGAAAGGGTCAAGCAACTAAGCCGCTGTCAGGGCCACATGCCTGCCGTCCGCCCGGAGACGGGCTGGTCGTCTGGTCGCCGCTTCAGCGGCGTTGCCACGCCCGCCGCCCGCCGGCCGGCCGGCCAGGCTGCAACCACGGCGGGCGCAAAGTCTGAAGGCATTGCCTAGTCGTCTTCGTTAGCGCGGCGGCCGAATTACCATTTCGCATCAATTGCAATAGCCGTGCCAATAGCGGAGCTGACAGGTCGCCGCGGCGCGAGTTATGTGCCGCCTGGCGAGAGGCCTCCCGCCCGCGGGATCAGGCCGCCGGGGCCGCTCGCTGGCCGTCGGCCGGCGGCTGCCGGGGAGTGGCCGGCCCTCCGTCCGCCGGGCCGCACCCACCGAGCCAGGCGTGGGGTCTGGGCCCTGGCGCCGGCGACCCTGCAGAGCCGGCGCGGTGAGCCCGCCGGCCGCGGAGGGCGGCACATCTGCCGGCGGCGGGCCCGCGCGGCAGGCGACTGCGATGCTGCGTACTACGCCAGCACTGCTGCGTACTGCGCCGGCGCAGGTCCGGCTCCGCGGCCACTGCCCGTGCCTCTGGCGAACACACCTCAGCCGGCTGCGGACGTCGCTCGCTCGACGCTGAGGATCCGCCAGTGTACAGACCCGCTCGGCGAGAATTATGGATGACAGTATTGTAGTAGTATGCGTGGAAGTGGCGGGACCAGCTTTCATTGAAAGTGATTCTTCCGTTATTTTCCTGTTGAACGACGCCCGTTGCGCCGGTTTTGCCACGCCAGTCCTCCTCAGTCTCTCAGTCTCTCACCGGTCTCCACTCCTGCCCAGAATGTGAATGCAGCCACTGAAAGACAATGTTTTACCCTTGGGGGTAAACAGAAAGGAACCAAATATGATTAAATATAGCGCATAGTCCCTAATAGCCCCACAGAGCTATCAGTTCACTGGTATTTCCATCGTATGAACCAACATACACCAACTTCAGCAGCAAACCCTACTCCGATTTGCAGTGAATCACACACTCCCTTCCTGCATACGCTCTACATACGTCCGTGACTATTCAATGTCTTCAGCACGCAGGGCAAAAGGATTTTGTCACATTTGATATACGCGGTGTTTCAACCAAACGTTGGCCTTTATCAGGAGAAAATCATTCGTCCGTGCATTCACGTGAAACTATCACTTCTTGTTTGGACAGGACAACGACAAATTAAGCCTGGGATCACTTCGAGGCGCTAGAGGCGGCCACGCAGGGTGTCTGAATTTTGTCAGGACGTGTCTTGTCCATGGTCAGAAAAGTAATGTTATTGCGGCACTCAACCTGGAACGGTTTGGAGTACCATAAGAAGAACCCGAATGGTGCTAATGGGACCCGGCGAAAAATAATATTCATGTTTTCAGTCCTAAATTGCATACCATAGTAGCCGCGAAGGCCAGAAGCCCTCAAAGTTCTTAAAATGATCGTTCCCTTCATACTGAACGCCTAGGTATCGCTGCGTCTGGAATGGTTCTGTAATGACGTGATTACCATGATCAATTAATCAGGTGCGCTTAATACCGCCATAATTCAAACACCAGCCTAATTATCGATTATCTGCCGCCATCTACACCACCACGGTTTGGCAATATCGATTATAACTCACGCAAGCCATCACGCCCTGTTGGTGAAGTCCTGTTTAGCGTGTTCACACGCGAGGAGCGAATTTCTCACCTGGATCGGTTGGCTATCTTATCATATGACGAGGTGCGGGGAGTGTCATGCCTTATTGCGCAGCGGTAACATTCTCGAGGTCTATGAGCGACTATGGCCTTGCATTTCGTGGTGACTTTCTGTCTCTGGTTATTTCCCCCTCCGACGTGATCGCCTGCACTCCCCGGCTTTCGAGATATCAGCGGAGGCAGGACAGCCGTGCATCCTCACACGACGGATCGCATGTGGTCAGCGGTTGGTGCGCTGTGAACTCGACATTTGCCAATATTGCGGAACTGCATGCGCCAACAATGAGTGGAAGTTTCTCGACGTGCCTAAAGCGAAAGAAAACATTTCGTCGCGTACTTGTTTTAAAAAAAGCAATGCTTAGCTTTTCGTGGTCACAAAGTTAAGAAAAGCATGTTTTTATCATTTGCGTTCAAGAAAAGGACGTTTTAAACAGATCTGACAGGACTTTCAACACTACATCACAATGCATCCGACAGCCTAAGTACGATCCAAAGACAAGCGACACTGGGAGTGAGACGCTGCTTGAAATATGGCCGAGATGATTATGTTGATAAGCAGCATATTAATAATGGTATGCTTGACCAGTGTCTAAATGGTCTTGTACCTTCTTATCAGGGAAAATTACTGCCTACTATGAGCCTCTCCTCTCCCAGATAAAGCACTTTCGCACCCCTCGCATGCCAAGTGCAAGCTATTGCTTTCTGAGCGTATGTTGTAATTAGAGACAAAATATACACCTTAATTGCGAGCCAAACGGTACGGGCAATGCGTCACCCGCGCTCTCCAGCAGCTAAGCCGCCTGAACTGTGGCCTGATGGGTGAACATGCGCCACAACGCGAAGCTTCCCTGCTCAGAGGGCCGCATAGTCACTCGTCAACGCGGCACCGACCGTCCCGCCCTTCGCGTCCTTGACACCGCTAGTCCGGTAGCACCAGCTCTGAGCCACGACAGCCGACGTTCCTCCCTTCGTACCCATGACACCGCCAGTCCGGTGGCACCAGCTCTGAGCCACGACAGTGGCCGTCCCTCCCTTCGCAGCCGCGCACCGCCCGCGCCGCCGCACGCGGCAGGTGTGGCGCCTGTGCCAAGAGCTCGCGGCGGAGCGGCGCCTCGACAATCGGTGGTGCCGACCCGTCCGCCCCTCCAGCTGAGGCGGGTCACGCGTCCGATCACGCTGGGCTGCTGTACGGGGCGGGC